TCAACTGTTGACTCAGTGGTTTATGTTTTTTTGTTATAAAATTGAAAAATGCATCATTGTGATATAAGTTTGCTTTACAATCTCTCATCCACTGAGAAAAGAAGTAATGACTAGTTTTATTGAATGTAGACTGATCAACTCACATTTTATAAACCGTTGCCTCAAATAAAAAAATTTCTGTATAACAATGGAACATATTTAATTACGGTGAGCACTTATTTAATTTTTCTCATGTATAAGATTATGAATTAGTCAGTCAAATGGGTAAATATGTAGATGATTCATTGTAAAATCTTATAAAAAGTAATACAGCTTTTTATGTCTGTAGTTTAACAATATACGACAAATATAGTTTTTTGTGGTTTGCTCGAAAGCTGTCCTAATTGTATTCAAAGTACTTGTCAATTTTGACTCAGTATGAGCCAAGAGACAATTCTGAAATGACTTAATAGTGCAGTTGACTCCAACAGAATTTACTCCAGATTAGAAATGATAACAATGTTGTTATTTGGTTACCTTAAAGTTTAGAATGAACATAATATAGAAAATAATAAATTATCTATGAACCTTTCCAAAATGTAAAGGGTTTAGGTTTTCCTTTTGAACGTATAAGAGACTAGATTCAATCAGTCTCTTTTGAAAATATAAACTCCTTAAATGAGCACTCGTTGAACAATCTAGTGGTCATCACGACGCATTGGCTTAGTAAACAACACTCTCGGATTCGAAGTCATGGATAAGGTTTTCAGTGAGATTAAAGACACTAGAATACTGACAAATTTATTTGAGTAGTCCCAAATGAACAGAATCGCCTATCTCAAGCGTCACTGTTAACGGCTGTTTGAAACAATGAAAACTGGTTTTTGTCTTACCGACAAACATATCTATAAATTCACTCCTGCTAACAATTATTATTACTTTCATGCAAATGAATTAAGAGGCCTATAAAATATCCATATCTCATCACCGTTAAGAATGGTGCCTTATACAGATACTTAGAGCAATGACTAGTCAGACAAAATTGATTTATATACTATATAACTGAGGCTTTCTTGTCAAAGAATTTCGACTTTACGATAAATCGCTTGTTAAACAAGATATAGAACTAGGTATTTATATGTACATTTAAGCGAGAATTACAGAGAATATTTACATTTAATGTACTTATCACAATAGATTTACAGTACAATACAGAAAATTTGCGATTGCAGTGCAATCGAAGCTAATTCAATGATGTAAACAAAAGTTATATATATATATATATATATATATATATATATATATATATATATAATAGTGAACGGCATATGTTCTTTCACGAGAAGTAACATGCGTAACTAAGTATATGTTATACCAGCATAAGTTATGCAGTAGCTTCTTACTCGTTGGATATAAAAGTAAAACTGTTTCAGGATGTTGTGATGTAATGTCGTCTAACATATTATCTAAGTAAATTTGAAACTACTGATGAGTAAACTACAATAAATTACTGAAAATCTTTGATTTCTGTTGTCGGCACACGACTACTTGAAAAACAAATCTATATTGGAACTCCCGAGGTTAGTATCAAAGAATTACTTCTGAAATGTACAATGAATGTCCATTTTGTCCTTAATAACACATATTATAGAGAAATTGATGATAAAGCGATGGGTTCGCCTCTAGGTCCTATCCTTGCGAAACTGGAAAACGAGCCTCTCAAAGATGTTACTGATAAGCTTAACTTCTACCGTCATTACGTTGATGATACTTTCATTATTGTTGATCAGAACACTGGAAAAGAAGAACTATTAAAACTATTTAACAAACATCCAGCAATTAAATTTACATGTGAAGAAGGACTAGATATTAAACTATATTTCCTTGACGTTCTGTTAACTAGAAAAGAAAACGGTTCTATCAGTAGGAGTGTGTATAGAAAAAGTTCTTCATCAAGCCAATACACACATTTCTTAGGCTTTGTGCCCTTCATTATAAGGGAAACTTAGTCAAATGTCTGGCAAATAGAGCTATTAAGATTATTCTCAGTCGGTACAAATAACAAGGAATTAGAGCTCATACATAATATGTTGATTATAATGCGTTATCCACAGGGTTTCCTGAAGAAACAGTTGCGTGTAACAAACAAGAAAATAATGACATCAACGGCTAGTAAGAAGCCTCCCTTCCTGAAGCTGCAATTCAGTGGAGATGTAGCTGGTGATGTACTACGTGATATAGTGACTAGAGCAGTGAAGAGAACGTTTAATGAAGCCAACCTCTGTCTATCGTACTCGACCCGATTTATGGTGATTCCTCAACTAATTGATAAGTTACCTGGATATGCCACTTCTATGTGTATCCACGAATTCAGGTGCTCCTGTCGAGAAAGCTATATTGGGCGCACTACCAGACAACTGAACCAGAGAGTTAATGAACACCTCCTTTCGTGGTTAGGAAAAGTTACTGTCAAGACAATACGCAACTCGAATCTATCGATAGCGGTCATGTAGTAGACAGAAATAAATCATTTATAGTTATTGATTGTATTTCTACTAGTTTTCCTCATAGTGTTTGATCTTATCTCTTACACATAACAGAAACTACAGGAATTCCAGCCAAAAATCCAAGTCTTTGTGCTCATAAGAAATTTGTAACACCTTTATCTTTCCCTTGGCCTCAATAAATTTTATTTATTATTATTTTCCATACTCTCTCTTCGTTTATTTTTCTTCACCCCCTCCTACCATTTTGTTTTATTTTCTTTGAAACATACGTTTCACGGTCCAATTATCTGGACACTTCTTATTACGTAATCTTATAATTTTTATGAATGCTATTTGAATATCTATATTTTTCTAATTATTGACCAAATTCCCATTATGTAACATTAATTCAAGCCTTTATAATTTTTTACCATAATTAGTACACCTGTCATCACACTACCAATTAGTACTTTTCACTTATTTATGTAATCTATTCCACTGTTATGCAGATAAGTCTAGTTGACAGTTGTACTTAAGTTGACCAATTTTCCATTTCATTTTTAACTACCAGAAATGAGGTAAATTAGTAAATTGAGTAAAATAAAGTTTGTGTAAAAGAACGAAATGGACTGTGGTTAAGTTTTGGTAAAGATAAATCGTTTATATATTTATGTCGTATCGATAAATATCAGACTGTCAGCTAGACTTGTCAGACATTGATATGTAATATCCAATATACAGTTCACCCATAACTACTCAAATTTCCGACATGAAATAGGCTATGAATAAATGAATTTAGTGGTTTATTGAGTATACCGAAACGACTTCAGATGTTAGTTGGTAGTTTTCTACAAAATAAAAAAGTGGGATAAAACTGCTAAACAGTGTTTAGAAATTCATAGACAATTTTACTCTGCTATGTAGGAAGCACTGCGATCAACCACTTTGGACATGACCTTTGTATACAGTAAAAAGGTATAGTATTTTTACGTTTGTCAGTTGTGTTCTCTCTTTATTATGTCTAGTGACTTAAAGTGAAAAGTTCAACTGGCATTAGATCACGGCGTTAACTTTAATTTTCATGTGAACTAGGTGTCTCAATTTTTATTAATTTGTTTTGATTCCTGGTCTCTTTATCATTGGTAACTTCATCCCCTTTCTTTTATGACTTCACCTTCAACATATTAATACTAATCGATTTTAACTGTTATGTTAAATATGTTGCTTCGTCTTGTTTTATACGTCGGTTCAAAACAAACCTCATTGATTACGGTCTGTAATAAAACATTTTTATAATAATATTACTAATGTAAATTGAGGTTATTTGCAGCTGATGAGAAATTTTGAGATGGAAATTATTCATGTTCTCATGTTCTTGCTTTATTTCGTGTTCAGAAAGTTGAATGTTCTACAAGATCTATTCCATAACTCTTTCCTTTTCTAAATATGCATTAGTAATAAAACTTTCAAACAATTACCAAATATCTATTTCACCGAATGTTCACAATTAATCACTATTTAATAAATTTTGAGTCATTCATTATGATAAAATATATATGAAACACTCTGAACTATATGTGAAAAGCTGATTCTAGAGTCTGTAACGAATGACGATCATTAGATTGCCACAGATTAGTATAAATATTAACTTGTTGGCCAAGAAGTATAGTGGCCATGGTTTCAATCTTTGATGGACTGTGAGCATAGGGATTATTGAAAAGTTTAACACCTAGAAAAAACAGCTAAATAATAGGGCTCGATGATTTTCAAAATATTAGTTCGTCTGAATTCAGTTAATAATGTAATACATATATAGATTAAACCAAAACTACAAACACACTATATTAAAAATGTCCATTACGTACAACAATATTCTAGTTCAAATCACCTGATATTTTCATCTCATAAAAAATCGTGTTTTTAAACTACTCTATTACATAAGTTTGATAGTAACATGATTCGTGGCTTGTGAATATATATAAATGCACACACTTGAAAATGAAGTATGGCAAGTTGTTAGGTCATTGAAGTGTTACATAAAAAAACCTCACTCTTTACAACAATCTGGTCAGATTCGGAATTTTGTTCATAGTAAATTTATTATAAGAAGTGGCGAAATAAACATTCTTTATAATTTGGGCGGAAGTAACTTTAAATCTAGGAGAGTTTTGTTATGAAACTGAATTTCTTTCTATGGATGTATATGCTCAAATGGAAATATATTGATCGAGTATGTTGCCTAGGAGTAAAAAAGAACGTTAGGGCGTAACTCTATTCAATATATATATATATATATATATATATATGGGCGTTTGTAATACCTGTAAAATAGTTGACATTCAGTAAGATATATTCACATAAGGGGATTTCAAATTAAATAATATGATTAAATGGATTCTATGACGCTACATTTTCCAATTATACACTATTTAAGAGATAAATGACTCATATATATTGTAAACTATTGTTTATAACTAAAGGTTTTACTTCAACTTTCTCCTTCTAATTGTTTTAAGCAAAATCAAAGAACAACCTTTAATGTATTTACCATAAGCAGTATATTTATTTTGAAATTAAAAGCGAAATGTATTGAAGAAATATTTCAAAAGAAACTAGGCAATGATTCTTGTTGAAAAATAATACACAATACGTGTTATTAAGAAAAATGTACTTTTATACAAACAAATAAATCGTACAAGGAAAAGTTGAGCATAAATAAGTCATATCTGGCTGGGAAAAGCGAAACACATGCTTGCTCATTCACATTTTGAAAGATGAGATGTTACACTAAGATAATGTGTTTAAAAAAGAAGATAATACTTGGAAGGAAGAAAGAAAAAAAAAGATAAACATATAAATCGATCGAATGTCAGAAAAGGTCAATAGAATCAAAACAATGGAGCATAAGAAATGGACAAATAAAGTTATAACTAACAACAATGTGGTAATACGTAGCTCAAATCTTGAATAATCGAGTGAATAATCATGACATTATATTTGCAGAAATAATACATTCAGTGTATATGTTCTAGTCAGATTATCACAAATGATAATGACTCTATTTGATTTAAATAAGCAGTGGAGCATTTTGAAGAAAGTCAAAAAAATGTTAATTAATTTCCATTAAAAATGAATGAAAAACAAAAACAAAAAGAAAGGAACTGATTGTGTTTTAGCAAAACAATTTTTATTGGCTTTATTTAAATATTGAATCTTATGATCTACAAATTTACTAATTCACAAATTTAAATTTTGTTTTAGTCAATTGGTTACAAATGTAAAAGAAAAAGCTCTATTGAAGTCAGTCCATTTTTCAAATTTAATAAACAATCAACTAATGGTATCTAATAAATAAAGTTATTTTGAAGAATTAAGTAAACTCAAATTTTTATCACAGCTGTACAATAATTCTTTAATGGATATTATTAATAAAGACTACATTGACTACAATAGTAACAATAACAACAACAGTGTTGATGACTTACATAAGATACTGTGCTGATATGTGCCTATATATTAATTGTGTGTAATAAATTTGACAGATTTTTTAAAAGCATTATGTAAGAAAAGGCTGACAGAAAGATATTCGCACTAAATTAATTAGAAAATTCAGCAGGTGGTGGCAGTAAAAATTCTGAATTGGTCGGAGAACTTCCTCTAATTGATAATCTTGATTCATCTCTGATCGATGTTCTTGTAATTGTATTATTTATTGTTTCTGTAGTAGTAGTTGTTGTTGTTAATGATGTTTGTATCGTAGATGGTGATTCATTGTCCGATAGATAATTGATACTTTTCTTTCTTGTCTCCGGGTTCAATGATATCGGTCGTCTAATGAGATGTGATGGTTTACCTGTTATAATGGATAAATTCTGTTGTTCCGGTGTAAAATATGAACGTAGTAAAGGTGATTGCTTTGTTGAGATTCCACGTGTTACACTGGCTGGATAATCACTGCTAAAATGTTTATGTAATCTTTCATCAACTATATGTAAATCACTATTTTGTTGCCTAGGCATTTGTGTATAATTAGTTTGAGAATGTGAAGAGTTCTGAGATTCATTTGAACCAACACGTTGAAATCTTGGATGGCGAGGAAAGTATAATGAATTGATCATGGAATTTCCAGATTTATCGTGACAAATCTAAGAAAAATTAATGGAAAAAAAACAAATATCTTAAGTGTTCAGTATTTTACTTGACGGTAGGTGGTTGAGGTCACTTAGAATTACGTTCCGAACTTTAAATTTTCAACTATTTCGGACATATCCTCTTCACATGGGAAACTGATGTTTCTCTTCAGAGTTGTAAAATGCTTTCCATTCTTTTTTTAGATAAAGTGCATTTTTACTGTAAGAGACACATCAGAAGTTAGCTGAGTGTCCAATTATTGAATAATTTCTAATACAGAGCTATCTACATCAAAGAATATAGTGTATATGTTACAGCATTTAAGTTCATTATAATGAAAGGAAATCGTCAAACGCTTTTATATAATTTTCGTCAAAAATAAGCCAACAATTTATCATGGACTGACGTCAACTGAGAAATGATTAAAATTCAGGGAAGGCTGGGTGGTATTTTGTTTTTGCAAAGTTTCTTCAAAATAGTAAGCCTAAACGTTTCCAACTTGAGATTAAGGTCAGTCAGTAAGTCAGTAACAACATAGAGCTTCGTACGTACGTACATCAGTTCGAGTTGCCACATCACATTAGCACACAGATGCAGTGGTCGATTCAAATCCCATAGTGGTAGAGGTAATAAGAGTAGAAGCAGTAATCGGAAAGATTAGGGTTTGAAGATGTTATCCAAAGAATATAATATAGTGAAACAAATTTTGAACGAGGAAAATTGGGATATGAAGAATTCAGAAGATTAGAATTTGGGAGAACACAAAGAGTGGATGCACTTGCGCCACTGCAAAAGATTTTGAGCCATGTCCTTTAGGGTCTCTAACTATCGGCTGCTATCATCTCGCGGTCCCCAACCAGGCAGTCTACACCTACCAACATGGTTCAGTTCATTTGTCAGTGACTTCATGGATTTGTGCCATGTTTTGGTCTGGCCACCCCTAGCTTTCTTCCAATCTACTCCTATACAACAAAACATCGCACATCGAGGCAGTCGGTGGTTGGGCATACGTAACACGTGTCCCAGCCATCTCAACTGATGAAGTTTCACTACTTCATCAATGGATTTGCCATCCTTACCTAGTACCCGTTTACTAACAACTGCGTTATTTACTCGATAGTCCCAGGATATACGAGCAATATTTCGAAGACACCTATGATCAAATACTAGTAACCTACGAATATCCTCTACTCTTACCGGCCATGTTTCACAGCGATAAAGTAGGATGGAACGAACTGCTGAGCAGTAAAAACACGTCCTTTGGTTGATAGACGGATATCTCGCCTACGCCATAAATGACGCAAGTTGGCAAAAGCTAGTCGAGCCTTCTGTATCCGTGCTGAGATTTCGTCACACACCAGACCACAAGGGCTGATGAGACTTCCAAGATAAGTGAAGCGGTCGACACTCTCAACTACTTCACTCCCTATCATTAGTTCAGGTGTCGATGCAACCCAATCCTGAAGTAACATTTTGCATTTCAAGGGGAGAATCGCATCCCGAACATGCTTGCATTGTTGCTTAGAGTGGTCAGAGGACTCTGCATTTTGTCAGCGTCTTCATCAAATAGAACTATGTCATCGGCATATTCTAGGTCAAAAAGTGAACCTCCCGATAGAAGTTCAACTCCTGGAAATCTAGACGAGGAAAGTGTTATCTCTAAAAGTACGTCGACCACAAAGTTGAACAAGAATGGAGAGAGTGGACAGCCCTGACGAACACCACTTGAGGTAATCAATTCTGATGACAGTTCACCATAAGCTCTCGCTCTACCAGTTGTGTTCGAGTAGAAAGTCTTTACAAGGCCAATGTACTTCTTTGGTACTCCTTTCAATGACAAACACTGCCATAGAACCTCACGATCAACAGAGTCGAATGCCGCCTTGAGGTCGAGAAATACTACCATTGTGGGGCGTCTGAATGTGTGTCTGTGTTCTAGAACCTGACGTCATGTGAATATCTAGTCTATGCAACCACGTCCAGGTCGAAAACCAGCCTGATTTTCTCTAGTCTGTTCTTCACGAGCTTTGATTAGGCGTCGAAGTATTATTGAAGCTAATATTTTAGACACTATATTTGTCAAACTGATTCCTCTGTGATTGTCACAAGAGGACTTTTGTCCTTTCTTATAGACTGGCACAATCAGTGATTGAGACCAGTCAGATGGGATTACGTCCAGTTCCCAAATTCTACCTAAGACCTCAGTTAATCTCGCTGCTAATACTGGACCACCATCCTTAAAAATCTCAGGAGTAAACCTGTCAGGGCCTGCTGCTCTCCCTCGCTTCAGATTTCCTATAGCTTTTTCAACTTCGTAAAGAGTTGAAGGACTTACATTAACTTGCTATTCAGGTCAACTGGAAATCGTTGGAAACCAAATTGTAGCTGAAGGCCAATTGAACTGATCCCTAAAGTGTTCTGCCCATCGGTCCAATCTCCTGGATTAAGAATATATAATATGTCCATCTTCCTCTGAGATTGTTTCGCTAACAGTCGGGTTCCTAATACCGGTTTCCTTAACGAGTCTGAACAATTGTCTGCTATTACCTATTGCCGCTGCCTTTTCCATCTCTCTTGCTTTCGCTACCCACCACTGTTCACGATCACTGCGTAGACTTCTTATCAGCCTGCTCTTAAGCTGACTCCGCTCTTCATCATGTTCAAAGCCAAATAGGATGGGTTTTTGAGCATCTATCAGTGCGATAGATGCGGTTGAGATCCAGTGTTTCTCCCTAACCTTGTGATTCACCTTACTTGCAGATATCACTGATGTTTTCACAGCTTTTTGTATGTCATTCCATGCTGCCTCGGAGTAAGCATCACATACATGGCTGCCTAACTGTTTTCCTAGTTGTTCCTGAAATATACTCTTAGTTTGACTATCATTAAACAGGACCCTAAGAGGTTTCCTTGCCGCGTCTTTCCTACGTCCAGTAAGACGCAGGCAAATACGCGCTCGCACTAGAGCATGGTCTAAATCTAAGCATGTGCTCTAGAATGAGCGACAGTCTTCTATCGGGCCTCTCCATAGGTGGCTGATAGAGATGTGATCTATTTGGGTCCAACATTGGGACGAATTAGGATTCGCCATATTAGTAATTGCAAGAAAGAGGCGGTTATCTGAGCATAGCTACAACAGACGGTCGCCATTATCTGTTCTTTGAGCCACGACGCTATAAGATCCACCCGGGTGTCTCTCCCTTTCGCTTAGTTTACCTACTTGAGCATTAAAGTCACCAGCCACTATTACTACATCAGAGCGCCTAGCTTTTCGGAGAAGGTCGGAAGGCTTTCCGTAAAACTCATCTTTTACAGCATCTGAGTTGAAGTCAGTGGGAGAGTAGGCAGAGGCAGCGACGAGTGTCCCTATCTTTCCGGATTCTTACTGTTCCGTTCAGTCGGACAGCGCACAAACGACTGTTTACTGGGATCCACTCTAAGAGAGCTAGTTCTGCCTTAGGACTCAATGCTATACCTACGCCGGCGAGGCCACGGGAAGCAGAATCAGGGCTTCCAGATACACAAAGTGTGAATCGAGTTGGTTCTTTATTTTGACATTGTGATGTCAAATGAATGACGCTACTCGAACCCTGTATGCGCGTTTCGGAGACGCAGCACACATCGATGGCGCGAGATTCTAAAGTCCTAGCTAGGGAAGCCTGTTGTCCTACTTGGCACAGTGTTCGGACGTTGAAAGCCCCTACGTGTAGTTTAGAGCGTGGTTCCAGGAGAGCAGGAATAACGTTCCGCGTACTCGAATCGTTTGCCCTAGCGGTGCGAGGTGATAAAGGGACGTGGGAAGGGTTAATCGTGGAGATAAGAGAGGTATTAGGAGGTGTAGGAAAGATTTGGATGTGACCGTTTTGGTCTCGTGTGCTGTTACGGGTATGAGGGCTGATATTACTTCCCGGCTGCCCACACCATGGAACGGTATTTCTTGAGGAACCTGAAATGGAAGTTGGAATAATGCTGGCCATAAAGACCTGGGAGCGTGGCCGCAGAGCCCAAAGGACAACTGTTTGAGGCCGGTCGCGCACGGCCTTATTGTGGGAGGTTTTTAATGTGTTAAGCTCTGTTCTTCAAAGGGCCTAACCGCCGGAGACGGAAATCCGTGAGGTAAGTCGAGGTGTGACATTTTTAGGGTCGACCTTTTCTAACCGCTTCCTTTCTTGCGAGGAGGCAGCAATGTTGCAGATGCTGGTTGTCCGAGGGAAACACCTTAGTGCTGTTACACCTCTCTACAGTCAGCAGTACGACTTCGCTCTCAGACCTCGAGTTGCTGCTATTAGTCTTACCATTCTCCAATCGACCTGCCTGGCATGGTAGAACCTACAGGAACATAAGTTCCAGCCAATATAGCTCGGTCGGGTCATCACGATAGGCAAGCCCGACCACCGGGTCAAGGTAGCAACTACGGTCGGGGAAGCTAAGATATTTTAAATGTAATATTGAAGTTATCCTTTGACTGTATTTCAGCTTACCAGAGGGAAAAAAGGTTTCTTTCTTATTCTTTTCTTTAAGGAAAAAATCATCCTATGAAATATGATGGGTTACACCCATATTGAATGTATATCTGTTTTTATGCATGTATGCATTTAGGAAAACTGATATATTTATCAACTTATTTTGAAAGAGAATATCAATATACAATTCATTACAAAATAATGCAATGTCGTAAGATTTTTTAGAATAAAAGTTTACGTACATCAGAAATACCATTTGTTGTTTGTGATCGTGGCAATCCTTGAAATCGTACTCTATGAGTTGATGCATCAGATGGTTGCTTGTTATTTGGCATATAAGATTGTTGTATTGGATTTGAATTTGTAATAAGTCGGCTACTTGAAGAACTACGTCCGGATACGTTCGAACTGGTACAGAGTGACTGACAATATACACCCTCATCTATTAGAAAGCATTTACATATATCGAATAAGAATAATCGTAAAAATAATATAAAAATCGACATTATTTGTTTTTTTCAGCCAGTCAGAAATCTGAAATTTCTGCATGATTGGACAATCAGTAATAAACAGTTAGGTTCCCAGCACAAACTTTTATGATAAAAGGTTACTGCAACGCATATACAGTGAATACTACTGTGTAGGGTGAAAAATGTTAGGTGATACTGTTAATCATAGTGGAAAATTAAGCTTAGGTAGAACTTCCGAAGATTCGGGTGGAAAAACTGTTGATGATGATATGTTCAAAATATCAAGTGAGGAGAATAATAAAGGCATGTAAGTAAATGTTACTCGTTTTAGGGTCTTTTGTCATAGGTTTCGGTTATCGCATGACTTTAATGAGGGAGTTATCACTTTTCGACATACCTGTGCTAACTAGTATCATGTTTTGACCCAGTTACTGCTAAACTGTTATCAATATACTACTTTGATGAGTGTGAATGAGTGACGTATGTTCCAGTTACTTAGTCAACTTAATTTTCAAGCTCCATCAATTGATCGGACAGCTTTACCTAGTACGTCATGATAAACCTCAGGATTAATTACCTGATGATCGAGTCGTATGTGAGAAATACCTAGAAGATATTTCTGATCAAATAATATACTTAGCAATTCTCTACCCCCCCTTGATGTCAAAATGTCACGCTAAATTCTCACCAACTAACGGCTGGATGTCTTCCTATAATAAAGATTTGAAAAAGCAAATATAAATATTATCGATTCATATCATTTTGCTTACCTGTTAAACAAGAATTCTCGTTCAGTGAAGATTTATATGTTCTGTCAGAACTTCGCTCAGATGAAGTCGGTGAAATAGTTGAATGTCTAGCTTGCTTTGTACTTCTCACTGTTTGATTACATTTAACAGATTGTGTTGGTAAAATCATTTTATTAATTAAATTTATTGAATTGCCATCGCTGGATTTTCTTGTAATCACATAATGCTCAACGCAACCATCTCCATCATTTTCATCATTAGTACGATGAATACTATCACTGTTATTGATCAATACAGAAGGTGTCATGCATTTTGGTGAAAGTAATGTTAATGAAACTTTATCTCCAGATGTACTGGACAACAAATCAACTACTTGATTCAAAGAAGCTTTTGTAACATCAGCACCATTAATCTAATGTAATAAAATTGCAGAAAATAAAGTAATATTTATTATAATAAGTAGTGTTTTTTATAAATGTTCTACAGATGTGCTAATACAGGTATGTTAACCGATAACCAGAATTTTGAATGATTGAATTATACTGATCTTTAAATGAATTTTAATTGATAAGTATATTAAATTCTTAAATGAGGAGGTGAATAATATTATTTAGACCAAGAACGTTATGTTTAAGATGGAATATTTGTGGATGTTGTTCCATTTAACGACAGTTATCATAGCAAATTGACCTTAAATGTAACTTAAGAGTATCAAACTCTGTGGTGTAGAAGACACACATTTATTAAAAGGTCTGAATTTTCTGGTTTTAATCACTGCCAGGGTTGTGAATAAACCCTGCTAAAATAATCCTAAAGTAGGCGGAAGCAGTTATTCAGTGCGTTGTGTAGTTAAAGCCAGTCGATGAAGTAAATTAATTTTACCCTTTATATTTATCACCTAGTTACTGATAAGTTGTACATTTCGCACAAGTTTGTAGATTGTAGTAAGTAAAAAATATATTAACTGAACTATTAATTTTCTCCTTACTATGGAGTCAATTAATTGAATCACATGAACTCGGATAAATGAGGCTTATTCTTTTTTGAGAATCGACTTAGTATATTTGAATCAAAACAATCATACTCGATGAGTTTTTCATGTCTTCTTTTATTTTATTCGTAAATTAATGAAATACGCACATTATATGCTGTAGTAACTCATAAATACCGATTTACTTAAGTGTTATATTAGTGCATTCAATATTTATATCTTGTATTTCATTCGTCTACAAAATGTTTATTACTCTTCAAGCACAAACTATTGAACAAAAGCCTGGTATCATTTAACTGTGAAATCAACAAGACTACTTAAACATTTGATTCCTTCATTAAAAAAAAATAATAAAAATGAAATTACATGATTGATTTATTAAGAAATTGAAAAGATTTTACTAGTGATTTGATGTAGAAAAATACAAGAGTTGGGAACCTGTTCAGTTTATTGTGAAAACCATGGTAACATTTACGCCCATTATCTCTGATTACTTAGTCATAAGTCATAAAACGTTTAATGTTTTGCATGAATAGAAATTTAAACCATCTGACATAAATGAGTGATGTATTTAAGTCTGAAATGGAAATCATTTAGACAGTAATCCACATTACTATTATTATTTACATAGTGACATGTGAATGGAATGTGCCTAGGGAATCTCAATCAGTGTATTTTTTTCACCTGACTAAATAATTATAGCAACTTACATTTTCTCATGGGTAATTTTCGTCATCCAATTATGAAAATTATTTTATTTAGAATTTATTATTTTGTATTTTGGTAGTTATTAGGGAGAGGATTAATTATTCTCAACTTAGTTATTTATGTTAGTTTAATTAATCTTTATTATCTGAAATAAGGTTTCATTGACAAGTTTAACCATTAGAGAAATGTTGCCTCTCCTTTTTTGATTTACTCACTAGGAATTATTAACGGTCAAGGACAAAACTGATATAAAGAGATGTCGTCTCCTTAAATCAATGGGTGTTACCATTCCCTTTTTTTCCAGTAGTTTCACAGATTGACGTATTGACACCAAAAATGTTATCTTTTCAAGCGCATTATTTAAACACACAAACCTTTTTTCTTGAAATAGAACTATTAATCTTAAGGACGATGATATTAGTTGAGAGTAGGGATTGAAAAAGTAGTTTTAAGGTTATTGATCGGTAATCCTCTGTTTCTGTTCAGTTTTAAAATTAGACATAAAATATTACAATGACAGAACATTGGACTGAAATTATGTAATAGTTGAAGTAATCTAATTGCAGATAAGTATTTCGAAGATAATTGAATAAGTTATAACACCAAGCAACATCGACCACATTGAGTGATATTCACTTAGTTCAGTCACTTCATAATAGAGTTAGATTTTCATCCAATGGGTAATCTATTTTATTGCAGTTTTGATTATATTCATAACCAAATCTTTCGTTGATTATAAATTTTATGTTCCTGTATGTGTCATATTTCTCAAACGTGTTCATAGACTTAATTACCATTAATATCATACTATTTTTTAATTTTTCTGTGTTCGTTACTTAATGGATCTGTCACTTTCATTTAATAGTTGCTTTTCACTTGTTAATATGCTACATATTATGCCTGTTATAAACAATACTAATTGGAAAAAAAGATCAGTACATAATTAGTTTAATAGAAGGGTTAATAAAATTCGAATTTATTTTTTAGTTGAATTGACTGTTCTTTATTAATGACTTTAAATATGAATTGATAATGTCTGAGGAAATTACTAAAAATCGGATAGCATTGATCAGGTATAAAGTTGTATTTTGTAACTTCGAAGGATACATATCAACATATTTCAAATTTAATTCGAAATCATACAGTTCCTCAGTGACGGTAACATTATTCAATTATGCATTTTCTAATTTCAATCATTCTTCAGTGTAACCAAATCATATTTCATTAATATTAATCAGTGTTCATTTCAATCAAAGTTTTATTAAAACCACATGTCACAACTTCTTATTTGAACTCTAGAGTATTCGTCTTAAGGCAAGATTTATTGATACAATTATGAAACTAAAATTTATGATAATGGTTGACTAGCTGCTATTATCCAAGCTAAAATTGGCTTGCTTTATTGTGTCTAGGTTATATGTTTTCAATGTTTTATTCAGTAGATAAGTAAATTTTCCCTTTTAAAAACTTTATAATAGAACCTGGATTATATTATTTGAGAGACGATATAAATGGGAAAAGATGAACTAACAAATATTTATAGTTTTGGATATTCTGTAAATGAACATTTAGCTAAATTCTATAACACTTTAATGTAAACATATAAAGGAGAAATGAATTGTTTTCAAAATTGTTTATGTCTTTGAAGGTAGAAGTGATTCTCAAATAAGTGTAATACATCGAGGAGAGAGGTTCCATCACAGACTGATATACCATGCGTACCAATCAAAATCAGCGTGTGTTCTTAAAAACTGTTTCTGGGTAAAGACTCTTCCTCAACGTACACCCACAGCGATGCTAGTAATACACATCACAACTTTGATATTATCAAGAAGTTTTGTTGATCTACACAAAATCATGACGAATATTCAGTGTTCACTGATTTTGATATTGAAATGTCTTTCAACATTGAAATTATCTCCACGATTCATTTATTTATTTGTAAATGTTTGCTTATTAATCTCTCAATTTACGGTGTATATCAGTTACTCAATCAATATAGGAATTTGAGAAAGATAGCATAGCGAGATAACATAAAGATTCAAAAAAGAAAAACTGACATAGATATATCTAATGAAGGTTCATAAACATAGTTGAAAATTAGTTCATAATGGTTATGAAGGTATTTCACTCATAATGAGCAAAAATGGGTGGTGGCTGGCAGTGGAATCCAGGACGCGCGTTTCGACCTATTTGGTACTCGTCAGCTGGGTGTACCGGCATCTCAGAGTTGATTATATACTTGATACTTTGAACAGCCTAGTAGTAAATAACATCTCTAACTTCTCCGAATTAATATATGTACAGTTTGGGAACTCTTAACTCTGTGTCTAAGTTGAAAATATCAGTGTGCATCTACTATTTATATGAATTAACTTACAAGTGAGTTTTCGATAATTCGGAATATTTTACCATAATCTATCCATGCAGCAAAATCATTGGCACCATTTGTGCTATATGTCGTTAATTAACTATCTTCGAATGTTGATTTAAAACTGCTTACACTAGTGACTTCATCTCAATCCACCAGTGGGATTATAAGGACTTTAAATATTTGATCACTGTTGTTAATGAATACATCTAATGAATATTCCTTCATGGTGATGTGTTA